ATATATATATATATATATCTATATATATATATAATATATATATATATATACACATATATACATGCATATATATATACACTATATATATATATATATATATATATATATATATATCTCTCTCTCTCTCTCTCTCTCTCCTCTCTCTCTCTCTCTCTCTCCTCTCTCTCTCTCTCTCCTCTCTCTCTCTCCTCTCTCTCTCTCTCGCTCTCTCTCTCTCCTCTCTCTCTCTCTCTCTCCTCTCCCTCTCCTCTCTCCTCTCTCCCTCCTCTCTCTCTCTATCTCTCTCTCTCTCATCTCTCTTCTCTCCTCTCCTCTCTCTCTCTCTACTCTCTCTCTCCTCTCTCCTCTCTCATCTCTCTCTCTCCTGCCGCATCTTCCTCCTCTCTCTCCCTCTCCTCTCTCTCCGCTCATCCTCCTCTCTCTCTCTCTCTCTCATATATATATATATATATATATATATATACATTATATATATATATAATCTCTATATCCTCTATCTATCTCTATCTCTCTCTCTCTCTCTCTCTATCTATCTATCTATCTAGATCTATATCTATAGTATGTATGTAGCGGCAGTAGTTGTCCGGTCTTATGTCGTTTTGTAGTGCGTCGGCTTCTATGTCCCATAAAATAGCGCATGAAGGCCCTAGAGGTGAGCCCATCGCAACACCCTCGATTCAGCCATACTGCGCCATTCAGTTCTTCTCCTGACGTCTTGAGCCGTCCTAGTTTGGTCAATGTCAGTAACTTCCACAAAGATATCGTCTATGTAGTGGCAGTACAATGTCCGGTCTTAGGTCGTCGTTTTAGTGTATCGGCTTCTACGGGTCTAATAAAGAACTTAGCCAAATAAAAGCCCTAGAGGTGAACCCATCGCGACACCCTCGATTCGGCAATACAGTGTCATTCAGTCCTCTCCGACGATTAGATAGGATCTCGAACGTTAGAATGTAAGGAGCGATGAATATATGAGTTATTTTGCGCGGACCACCTTTAATTTAGCGATGATGCCAACATGCATAAAAGGAAGGATTCTGCCGAAATATTCCACATATATACATACATATATATATATATATATATATATATATATATATATATATATATATATTTATCTATATATAAAATATACTACTGGACTCAGCATTGACGAGGTTTTGATGCTCGTTCCAGTTTCCGGCCTTTGACTTTGCGTCATCGCTTAGATTAAAGATGGTTCGCTCAAAATTACTCATATATATCATCACTCTCCTTCCATTCTAACGTTTCGAGATCTTATCTCATCTTCGGAGAAGACTAAATTGCACAAGATATAAGTTTTGAGTTTGAAAGAATGAAAAATTGTGCACTACTGCTGTAAAACATCTTTTGGTACGGAGAACATAACTGAAGCATAACTAATTGAAGTAGACGGATTCCTTTTTCATTTTCGTACATGTAAAGAAGCACCCATAATGGGAACATCACAAAGACACAATGGGAACACTGTTGTCACAATCACATCAGAAGTGCTCACCCCGCCCACCACCCAGTAGTTTCAAGAGTTCTGCAAGAATTTGTCTGTCTGCTTAGAAGGCCGGAGAGAGTTCGTTAATGAACATGCTTTCCCCAAATTTGAAGGCGTCTTCGGTCACTGCACGTCCGTGAGTATGTCAGTGCTGTCTGTCAGCTGTTGTCGCGTCAATGTCATGTCGTGTTCCTGTCGCATGTGGTCCAAATTTGGGAAAGCATATCTATTAACGAACTCTCCGCCCTTAAACAGACAGACAAATTCTTGCAGAACTCTTGAACTACTAGGTGGTGGGCGATGAGCATTCTGATGTGATTGTGACAATAGTGTTCCCATTGTGTCTTGTGATGTTCCCATTATGAGCGTTTTCTTACATGCATGAAAGTGAAAATAGGAATCCGTCTTACTTCAATTAGTTATGCTTCATTTATGTTTTCCAAACCAAGGGATGTTTTACAACAGAAGTGCACAATTTTTCATTCTTTAAAACTCAAAAACTTATTTCTTGTGCAATTTAGTCTTCTCCGAAGATGAGATAAGATCTCGAAACGTTAGAATGGAAGGAGTGATGAATATATGAGTAATTTTGTGCGAAACCATCTTTAATCTAAGCGATGACACAAAGTCAAAGGCCCGGAAACTGGAACGATGCATCAAGGTCGTCAATGCTGAGTCAGCAGTTATTTTAATTAACATGTATCAAAGAAGAATTCTGCCAAAATATTCCAATATATATATATATATATATATATATATTATTAATATATGCAATATATAATATATATATATATATATATATATATATATATGTGTGTGTGTGTGTCGTGTGTGTTGTGTGGTGTGTGTGTGTGTGTGTGTGTGTGTGTGTGTGTGTGTGTGTGTGTGTGTGTGTGTGTGTGTGCGTACATAGCCCGCCGGCCGCGAGTGACTTGGGCGTCTTCACTGCCGCGTCAGTCAGGATAGATTGCGGCCCGCATTACAACGCATCAAGTCACAGTCAAGGGGCACGCGCAGCCAATCAAAGGATCCAAATCTGGAGTCATCACGCACGAGCAAGGGCGTGTGTGATGTCCGACGCTTCTGCGATCCTAGGCTGCCTGACGTCCCCCACTCATCGCTCTCCCACATGGGACATCGGAATTCTGCCTTCGCCCGGCGCTGAGGCAAAGACGTCTCAGTTTCATTAATTAACTTTTCTTGACAGCGCGACTCGATATTTCGCGCGGAGAGTTCACTTTAGCGCCTGTCGTTGCGGTTCTCGCATCAGGCTGATCGCAGAGCACGAGGCGATCTCGCCGTTTCTGAGTGGCTTAGCTTACAAACGCCGCCTCTTGGGGTGGTGTCGTATATTTTCCATCGTTTGACAACCGCGTGATTTATGTATCGCTTGGGTCGAATCGTTTTCCGCTTGAGGTCAGTATGTAACGCGATTCGTCTGTTGCCGAGTAAGACTTCTTACATTTGTAGACTAAATGAAGCACAGACTTATGCTGCCGCTGGTCGTGTGTGTGGACGCGTGTGGACCTGAAAGATGCACTGTGACTGACTCGCGGGAAGGACTAGCAGCAGCGAAATCGCCACTAATCTATCACGCTAGGGCAGTTAGAAATTTGCTACAAGGTGCAAACTACAAGCCGTTCGGGACATCGTATCGAAATCGAACATCGCATCGAACATCGTTCGAGACATCGTATCGAAAGAGACTAGACAAGATATGTGAAAAGATAGCGTGCGACGCTTGTTGAACGGTCCCAGGTGTTGAGGCTCCCTCAGCGTCAGATTAACCACTCGGCTGGCCCGCGGGGAGGAGACGGCTGCAGCAGCTGAGTCCGCCAAGGCCAGGGTCGTGGAGTGTCAGCAGGTGCGGCGAGCCACGTGCAGCTACAGGGGTCACTAGGGTCAGTCAGCATGTCCCCCGCCTCCGGGATGTACGTCAGACCAGCTGGCCATGGGCTGCCAAGGTGTATAAAATAAACCACGAACGTTTAACTATTCATTATTGCTGGTACAATCTGCGCATGGCTTCACGTATGGTCGGCGAGTTGCCACCGCTCAGCTCTATCATCTGATGGCAGTCTGAGTTTAGCAGTCAGGCTTCCGAGCTTTGAACATGACGAGTTAAGCTCCTGAAGCTTCAAATTTTAACTCCCGACCGCTCTGCGCGAACCGGCCCTGTTAGGGATAGCGGCGTTAAAGTAATTCACACCTCTCAGCTCCGTGAATGACTTCCAGTGCATCCAACAGCAACGTCCAACAAGTCTTGAGGCTCTCCTCGGCCAGGCGAATGCACTGGCAAAGATACAACCCTTTTCCCTTAGATAAGACCCCTTTCTACATTCAGAACCCGTTTTCCGGATCACGAGGGCCACCTGTATGACTAAGGTAGTCGATCCTCTAGATAAGTAGACCCAATGCTATGTTGAGGAGATCCCTTTACTGGCGCAGGAGGCGGCTCATTACGAACTAGGAGGCTGTCGCTCTGGGTTAGGA